GTAGGATCGAGTTAGGTCTTATTTCTTGATAGGTTGACGACGTCCTATCAAGTTTTGGCGCCGTTGCCGATGAGGCAAAGTCACATTGAATAAGTTATTGTTGAATGAGTCTAGATTTGTGTATATGTATATAATCTTCTTATTTTGTTTTTGTTTAAGCGTGTTTTACTTTGTGATAGTCATTGCTAACGTTTTCCTTAGCTTTGTTTGACTGTGCATGACACGGAGGAGTAAGCAATCACCGCTTATCCCCGTAGATCCGGAGTTAAATAGAACTTTGAGGAACGTAAGATGGCTCCTACAAGGCACGCCGGATTTTTCTCTAGCTTATACGGATTCCGAGTCGGAGGATAATCTTGACAACGAGCAAGAGATGGCCAACCCAGCGCCTCCTCCACTTCTACAAGACTATGACCACCCCGATGCATTCCAACTTCGGAGTGGCATACTTCTTCCCACCACCAATGCAAACAACTATGAGTTCACTCCTCAACTCATAAGGATGATCCAAAGTGAACAGTTCGGGGGGAGTGCAAATGAGTGCCCTATAGCTCATTTAGACAACTTCCTTGAGTTGTGCACTACCATCAAGCAAAAAAACCTCACGGAGGAATTCATTTGGATGCATATGTTTTGGTTCTCTCTTAAGGACAAGGCTAAGTGTTGGTTGAGGTCCGTGAAAGAAGGATCCTTAACAACATGGGAAGAGGTTACCAAAGCATTTCTTGGGAAGTTTTGTCCGCCCGAAAAGACCGCGGAATTGAGAAGGAAGATTACAAGCTTCACTCAAGAGGATGATGAAACCTTAGGTGAAGCATGGGAAAGATTCAAGGATCTAAAGAGGAAGTGTCCACACCATGGGTTGCCTTTATGGATGATTATTCAAAGCTTCTACGACGGTCTCACTCCTACCTCAAGGGCCAATCTTGACAACGGAGCCGGTGGTAGTCTTAAAAAGCTACCGGTGGAAGAAGCCGAGAATATGATTGAAGAAGTTGCAAGGCATTACGCCTATAGATATGATAGAAGAGAAAGTCAACCGAAGAAGAAAGGTATGCATGAGTTGAGTGCAATAGATCTCATTGCCTCAAAGTTTGATATGCTAGCTCACAAGCTAGACCAAGCAACCTCCTCAAGCGGTACCTCCTCTTCACAACCACAACCACAAGTCATGTCTTGTGAGACTTGTGGGGGTAATGATCACATGGCTTCATATTGCAATGCTACTAATGAGCAAGTTGCGGCCGTGAACCAAAGAAATGAGCAACCTTTCAATCAAGGTTGGAGGCAACAAAAACCAAGGGTGGAGACAACCCAATCAAAACCAACAATCCAACTACAACAACCCTCCTCAAAACATCTACAACCAAAATCAACAAAATCACCAAGCCCCATACCGCCATCCAAACCAACAAAGACATCAATTCAACCAACAACCTCCTCCACCCCAAAATACTTCCCTTGAGGCCGCTCTTGAGTCTTTCATAAATCAACAAGGGAAGAGCAATGCAGAAATGAGCTCCAACATCCAACAACTTCAAGCGCACAACAAAATAATTGAGAATCAACTAGCTCAAATTGCACAACAAGTTGGGAGTTCTACCTCCAATGCTAGTGGTCAATTTCCAATCTCAACGGTTGTGAACCCGAAGGAGCATGTCAAGGCTATCACATTGAGGTCCGGGAGAGGGTATGAAGGTCCGGTAATGAGTGAAGATGTGCCACAAAAGAGAGATGAGGGTGTGGAGGTGAGAAGTGAGAATGATGTTGAAAATGAGGTGGTAGAAGTTGAGAGAAAAGAAAAAGAAAAGAGTGTTGAGGGAGACACAAAGAAAGGAGAGGGAGTTGAAGTTGAAGTGGAGAAACCCCCAATGAGAGTCTACAAGCCACCTATTCCTTTCCCTCATAGGTTGGTAGAGAAAAAATTGAATGAGAAGTTTTCAAAGTTCCTTGAGGTCATGAGAGGGCTCCAAGTGAACATTCCCTTTCTTCATGCTATGTCACAAATGCCTACATATGCGAAATTTTTAAAAGATCTCTTGTCCAACAAAAGTAGGCTTGAAGAGAGTGCAACCATCTCCCTTCCAATGGAGGTGAGCGCAATCATTCAAAACAACCTTCCCCGAAAGCTTGGTGACCCGGGTAGCTATGCAAATCCGGTGAAGATTGGAGATATGGAAGCCATGGATGCTCTTTGTGATCTTGGGGCAAGTGTAAGCTTGATGCCCTTCTCAATTGCGAAAAATTTAAAAGTTGGTGAGATGAAGCCAACAAGAATCTCAATACAATTAGCCGATCGTTCGGTTAGGTTACCAATGGGAATACTTGAAGATGTACCGGTACAAGTGGGAAGAGTTTTTGTACCTTGTAACTTTGTGGTGATGGAAATGGAGGAGGACAACAAGGTTCCTCTCATTTTGGGAAGGCCGTTCTTGAACACGGCGGGAGTGGTAATTGATATGAAACAAGGCAAGCTAACATTGAATGTGGGAGATGAGAAAATTTCTTTCTCATTCTCGCAAGCCATGAGGAAGCCTATGTATGAGGATATCAATAGAATCGATACTCTTGACCGAGAAGTGGAGGAATTGAAGATGATGAACAATAGCAAAGATACTCTACAAGCGATCCTCACGGAAAGTTTGTACAATGATGATGATGAAGCTAAGGGGTACAAGTTGTTGCTAGACCAACCCCTACATGGCAAGGCAAGGGAGTTTGAAGCACTTAAGGTGGAGGTAAAAGAAGAGAGGTCTACGCCTCCTCCTAAGGTTGAACTTAAACCCCTTCCCCCTTCACTTAAATACGTTTTTCTTGATGATAATGAGACTTATCCCGTTATTGTCAATACCAACCTTGATGACACTTCCCTTGAGAAACTCCTAGTTGTGTTGAGGGAGTATAGGAGTGTCATTGGGTATGCCATTGATGACATTAAGGGGATAAGTCCCACGATATGCATGCACAAGATTTTGCTTGATAATGATCATGACTCCTCAATTGAGCACCAAAGAAGGCTCAACCCCAACATGAAAGAAGTTGTTAAAAAAGAGGTTTTGAAACTTCATGAAGCGGGCATAATCTACCCTATCTCCGATAGCAAGTGGGTTAGCCCGGTTCAAGTTGTTCCAAAAAAAGGGGCATGACCATTATCAAGAACGATAAGGGTGAGACCATTTCTACAAGGTCGGTCACCGGGTGGAGAATGTGCATAGACTATCGAAAATTGAACATATCCACTCGGAAGACCACTTCCCTCTCCCCTTTATCGATCAAATCTTGGAAAGGTTGGCATCACATAGTCACTATTGCTTCTTGGATGGGTATTCGGGATTCCTCCAAATCCCTATCCTACCCGAGGATCAAGAGAAGACTACATTCACATGCCCTTTTGGCACCTTTGCTTATCGAAGGATGCCATTTGGATTATGTAATGCACCTTCTACATTTCAAAGGTGTATGATGTCTATCTTTTCCGACATGCTTGAATCATCAATCGAGGTATTTATGGATGACTTTTCTGTTTGCGGTTCATCTTTTGACACTTGCCTAAGTAATTTGATTAAAGTGTTAAAAAGATGTCAAGAGGTGAACCTTGTTCTTAATTGGGAAAAATGTCATTTCATGGTTGAAGAGGGTATTGTGTTGGGACATGTTGTTTCTAGTAGGGGCATTGAGGTTGATCGTGCCAAAATTGAGGTTATTGAGCGCCTCCCTCCCCCCACTAATGTGAACGGTATAAGGAGTTTTCTTGGACACGCGGGTTTTTTACCGCCGGTTCATTAAAGATTTTTCCAAAATCGCTAAGCCGCCCACTCAATTGTTGGTAAAGGATGCCCCTTTTGTGTTTTCTAATGATTGTTTGCTAGCCTTTGATAGGTTGAAGGAAGCTTTGATCACGGCTCCCATCATTCAACCACCGAATTGGGAGCTCCCTTTTGAACTCATGTGTGATGCTTCGGACTATGCCGTTGGATCTGTGCTTGGGCAAAGGAAGGATAAAAAGCTCCATGCCATCTATTACACTAGCAAAACTCTTGATGAAGCACAAAGAAACTACACAACGACTGAAAAAGAGCTCCTAGCCATCGTCCATGCTATCGAAAAGTTTAGGTCTTACTTGGTGGGCTCCAAAGTTATAGTCTTCACCGACCATGCGGCTTTGAAGTACTTGCTGTCCAAGAAGGACGCTAAACCAAGGTTGATTAGGTGGGTCTTGCTCTTACAAGACTACGATATAGAAATTCGGGACAAGAAGGGTGCCGAGAATGTAGTAGCCGATCATCTCTCACAGCTACCGATCGTAGAAGGTGAAATTGAAGCTTTGCCAATCGATGATTCATTCCCGGATGATCAATTATTCGCAATCATTCAAGCCCCGGCCCCATGGTTTGCGGATATTGCAAATTACTTGGCTTGCTCCATCCTTCCTCCCGACCTCACCTATCAACAAAAGCGGAAGTTCCTCCATGATGTCCGCCAATACTTTTGGGATGACCCCTTGCTCTTCAAACAAGGTGTTGATGGTCTTTTTAGAAGGTGTGTCCCCGACGATGAAATTCATGAAGTTATCACAATGTGTCACTCCTCACCTTGTGGAGGACATATGAGTGCTAACAAGACATTGGCGAGAATATTGCAATGCGGTTTCTATTGGCCCTCTATGTTCAAGGACGTATGGGGAGTTGTTAAAGCTTGTGACCGGTGTCAAAGGACCGGTAATTTGTCAAGAAAGAATGAAATGCCTTTGAATAACATTTTAGAGCTGGAAATTTTCGATGTGTGGGGAATAGATTTTATGGGACCTTTCCCATCCTCTTTTGGGAACAAATACATTTTGGTGGCCGTCGACTATGTATCAAAGTGGGTTGAAGCGGTTGCATCTCCTACAAATGATGCTAAGGTAGTGGTCAAGTTGTTCAAGAAAGTCATTTTCCCTAGGTTTGGTGTGCCACGTGCCGTAATAAGTGATGGAGGATCGCACTTTGCAAAGCGATCTTTCAAGGCTCTCCTTGAAAAATACGGAGTGAGGCACAAGGTGTCATTGGCTTACCACCCTCAAACAAGTGGTCAAGCTGAAATTTCAAATAGGGAGATTAAGTTGATACTAGAGAAGACGGTGAATAGGTCAAGGAAGGATTGTTCATCAAGGTTGGATGATGCTCTATGGGCCTACCGCACCGCCTTCAAGACTCCTATTGGCACCACCCCTTACAAGCTCGTTTATGGGAAATCATGCCATCTACCGGTGGAACTGGAACATCGTGCGCACTGGGCTATCAAAACCTTGAATTTTGATATCCAATCCGCCGGAGAAAAGAGGATGCTTGACCTCCATGCCTTGGAAGAGTTGAGGTTAGATGCATATGAGAGTGCAAAGATCTACAAGGAGAAGACCAAAGCATGGCACGACAAGCACATCAACAAGAGAGAGTTCAAGGAGGGTGACAAGGTCTTGCTATTTAACTCCCGGTTGAAGTTGTTTCCGGGAAAGCTAAAATCAAGATGGAGTGGCCCTTTCACCATTACAAAGGTATTCCCATATGGCGCCATTGAGATTTCCAATGACAAAGGTGAACCATTCAAAGTTAATGGCCAAAGGTTGAAAGCATACTTCGATGGTTTCGTGCAAGAAGAAAACAAAGGTAGTTCATTTAGATGAATTTGATATCCCTCGTGATTGAAAAACGTAATATGGTCAAGCTAGTGACAATAAAGAAGCGCTTCCGGGAGGCAACCCGAGTATTTTAGTAATTTTTCTAAAAAAAAAAAAAAAAAAAAAAGGGGAGAGTAAACGTGCCTTCCAATCAGCACGGACGTGCTGAAAATGGCACGTCCGTGTTTAGGAAGGCAGAAAGTTGAGAAGTATTCTGCCAAGTTAAGCACGTCCGTGCAAGATACAGCACGTCCGTGCCAAAAGCAGCACGTCCGTGCTGAAAATGGCACGTCCGTGTTTAGGAAGGCAGAAAGTTGAGAAGTATTCTGCCAAGTTAAGCACGTCCGTGCAAGATACAGCACGTCCGTGCAAGATACAGCACGTCCGTGCCAAAAGTAGCACGTCCGTGCCGATAATGGAACGTCCGTGCTTTTACAGGCAGAAAGTTAAGCACGTTCTGACTTGAGCTGCACGTTCTGACTTGAGCTGCACGTCCGTGCCAATGCTGCACGTCCGTGCATACCAAGTATTTAAGGCCGAAACTGCTCGAAAAAAAAAAGTGAAAAAAAGGCACAATTTTTTTTTTTGTGGAGGTGGACTTGTATTTCACTATTTTATAACCGAAAATAAAAATGTGCTATGACTTAGGAATGAGAAAATGTGCTTTAATGAACTAGTAAAAAGCCTAAGGAAGTGTTCCATTGCAATCTTGTTCAGCATCCTTCTTGGTCTCTAACTCATGTGTACATTATTGTGATGTTGATTTTTGAATGTTGTTCACTTGCCTTGCTTTTGAATCACATCCCGATGAGTTGACTTGGGCTATATTTATCTTTTTTTTCATTTTTTTCTCTCTTTTTTCTTTTTTTTTTTTAGAAACCAGGCTAAACTAGGCATAAAATAACTATACATCTAAATAAGGGATAGGAGAAGTATTCACAATGTAAGGGATTTGGATTTCAAAGGAAGCAATTTGGATTCAAAGGGTTTGGATGTTAGGGAAATGGGAATAGGGGCATGCAAATCAACATATACGTACGAGAACCCAGCATGAACCAATGGTAAATGAGAAAATACTCCCCCCCAAGCTATCATAAACATTGTCCCCAATGTTGAAACAATATAAGCACAAAGAGTAGGGGAAGGAGATACTAACTCATTGGTTCGGGCCCCCTTGGGAGCTCGAACCCCCGGGTAGAGATGCTTATATACATTGCGGAAGTCGCCCAATTCCGTTCGAAGACCCTCAAAGCTTGACCTCATTCCGTCGAAAGAAGTCCTCAAGTCTTCATTTGACTTCCTCATGGTCTCAAACTCGGAAGTCATGCGGGCGAAGTTCGCATTCATATTAGCCATCTGCTGCTCGAAGGTGAGGAATGGGTTGCCTTCACCCATGCCCTGACCTTGGTACCCCTCTTGGTACCCTTGTTGGAACTCGTACTGCTGGTGAAATTCTGGTTGTTGCTGAAATTGTTGTTGTTGATGATGTTGTTGTTGTTGATGCTGTTGTTGTTGATGCTGTTGTTGTTGCTCTTGCTGCTCTTGCCCTTGTTCCTCTCCCTCTTGACCGGGAGCCCAAGGAAGTCCCTCTCAAAGATCCAGTTCGCCTGGTTATAGATGGCGGTGGCCTCAGGGTCGGGTAAGTAGGCATAGGGGCGCCTACTCACCAACCACAAATAGGGGTGGTTCCCCTCTACATCCGTGAGCCATTTCATGGCTCTCAGCGACTGCATATCCAACTGTGTTAGACCTGGAACAACCTGCTCTTCTGCAAAATCAAGGTTAAGAGCAGCAGCAATTATAGTAATCATACCACCTATGGTGATGTTGCCTGATCCTGTGGCAACATCTTCTAGGTGGTCCATAAACCAAGACCCCACATTTAAACTTGTACTACCCTCACTCAGATGCCATAGAAAGTAAAGCTCTCGAGTAGACACGACCCCTGAACTGTCTCCCCTAGCAAAAACTGTGTTCGCTATGGTACGCTGGGCGATCCTAAAGGCAGGGTGAATAATGGCTGTGGCCTTATCAGTTCTAGGGTTATACCCAAACAGCCCTGTGATTTTTCTCCAAAATTCACCCGCCATATAGTTACGGGGTTGCCTATCCTTAGGCCCCATAGTTCCAGAAACAGGCCACCCAAAAGCTTGGTTAACTCTCGCTACGGACATTCTATGTTGGCATTCATGAGCTGGAAGGTCATGTAACGGGGGGATCTTGTGGTGTCACGGTGCACACAAAGGGAGGAGAGGAATTCTAGGGTCAGTCTCCTATAGGTTAAGGCATGTAACTCTAGCCAAGAACCTAGGTCGGCTCCCTCGAATAACATTGTAATGTCAGCTCCTACCCCTAAGGCGTCCGCCACCTCACTATCATAGAATTTGGTGGGCTTGACCCGCCTCCTACTGATTTTAAGGAAATTGGCCGAAAAGGCCTGGTCAGCGAAAACTATTCCCATTGTGTCCACTTGCGGTGGATCAACGGGAGGAGGAGGCGATGGGTTCCTAAATCTAAGGGAAGAGGTGTTTCGGGATTGGTTTCTTCTTGGCATGGTTGTTTTTATTTTGTTTTATTTAGAATGACTAAACCCGCCACACAAAGAGATCAAGACACTAAACCAATTCACCAAGTAATTTTAAGGTCAACAACCCAAGACTTAGCCACACCCAAGGACACCACAAAGAATAATCCACACAATCACAAAAACTCACAAAACCTAAACAATTAATCCTCACAATATTCAATTAAACCCATAATGCTTTACATAAAAGCACAAATACTCAAAAACTATCAATTCAACCAAGATTGCAAGCAAAAATAAGCACAAAACAACAAGTTTCAAGTATGGAAATAGTAAGTGGAAGGAACGATTATACCGAGCTTAACGTGGGTGTAAAACCCGCAAATGAACCTTCCTAGCCTTCCTTTCCCTTGCTTGAACCTTTTCCTTCAACCAATTGTTAAAATTTCAATCCAAAAGAAAACCCCCAAATTGATTTTTTTCTTCTTAGGGTTTCGGTTAATGGGTGATTTTTGGGTTGAAGATTGGAGAAAGGAGTAGTATTTTGCGTTTTTATTGAAAAGGAGTGTTGATTATGGTGGGAAATGTTGAATTTTGGGTGAGAATTTGAGTGTTTGAGGGTTGAGAGGAGGAGTAAGAGGGGTTAGAGAGAAGGAGGAGAACCGTGGGTTTAAGAGGAAGAACAAAAAAAATTGCGGCTTTTTTTCTCTTTTTTTTTTTCGAGCAGTTTCGGCCTTAAATACTTGGTATGCACGGACGTGCAGCATTGGCACGGACGTGCAGCTCAAGTCAGAACGTGCTTAACTTTCTGCCTGTAAAAGCACGGACGTGCCATTATCGGCACGGACGTGCTGCTTTTGGCACGGACGTGCTGTATCTTGCACGGACGTGCTTAACTTGGCAGAATACTTCTCAACTTTCTGCCTTCCTTAACACGGACGTGCCATTTTCAGCACGGACGTGCTGCTTTTGGCACGGACGTACTGTATCTCGCACGGACGTGCTTAACTTGGCAGAATACTTCTCAACTTTCTGCCTTCCTAAACACGGACGTGCCATTTTCAGCACGTCCGTGCTGATTGGCAGGCACGTTTACTCTCCCCTTTGTCGTTGGAAATCTCAATGGCGCCATATGGGAATACCTTTGTAATGGTGAAAGGGCCACTCCATCTTGATTTTAGCTTTCCCGGAAACAACTTCAACCGGGAGTTAAATAGCAAGACCTTGTCACCCTCCTTGAACTCTCTCTTGTTGATGTGCTTGTCGTGCCATGCTTTGGTCTTCTCCTTGTAGATCTTTGCACTCTCATATGCATCTAACCTCAACTCTTCCAAGGCATGGAGGTCAAGCATCCTCTTTTCTCCAGCGGATTGGATATCAAAATTCAAGGTTTTGATAGCCCAGTGCGCACGATGTTCCAGTTCCACCGGTAGATGGCATGATTTCCCATAAACGAGCTTGTAAGGGGTGGTGCCAATAGGAGTCTTGAAGGCGGTGCGGTAGGCCCATAGAGCATCATCCAACCTTGATGACCAATCCTTCCTTGACCTATTCACCGTCTTCTCTAGTATCAACTTAATCTCCCTATTTGAAATTTCAGCTTGACCACTTGTTTGAGGGTGGTAAGCCAATGACACCTTGTGCCTCACTCCGTATTTTTCAAGGAGAGCCTTGAAAGATCGCTTTGCAAAGTGCGATCCTCCATCACTTATTACGGCACGTGGCACACCAAACCTAGGGAAAATGACTTTCTTGAACAACTTGACCACTACCTTAGCATCATTTGTAGGAGATGCAACCGCTTCAACCCACTTTGATACATAGTCGACGGCCACCAAAATGTATTTGTTCCCAAAAGAGGATGAGAAAGGTCCCATAAAATCTATTCCCCACACATCGAAAATTTCCAGCTCTAAAATGTTATTCAAAGGCATTTCATTCTTTCTTGACAAATTACCGGTCCTTTGACACCGGTCACAAGCTTTAACAACTCCCCACACGTCCTTGAACATAGAGGGCCAATAGAAACCGCATTGCAATATTCTCGCCAATGTCTTGTTAGCACTCATATGTACTCCACAAGGTGAGGAGTGACACATTGTGATAACTTCATGAATTTCATCGTCGGGGACACACCTTCTAAAAAGACCATCAACACCTTGTTTGAAGAGCAAGGGGTCATCCCAAAAGTATTGGCGGACATCATGGAGGAACTTCCGCTTTTGTTGATAGGTGAGGTCGGGAGGAAGGATGGAGCAAGCCAAGTAATTTGCAATATCCGCAAACCATGGGGCCGGGGCTTGAATGATTGCGAATAATTGATCATCCGGGAATGAATCATCAATTGGAAAAGCTTCAATTTCACCTTCTACGATCGGTAGCCGTGAGAGATGATCGGCTACTACATTCTCGGCACCCTTCTTGTCCCGAATTTCTATATCGTAGTCTTGTAAGAGCAAGACCCACCTAATCAACCTTGGTTTAGCGTCCTTCTTGGACAGCAAGTACTTCAAAGCCGCATGGTCGGTGAAGACTATAACTTTGGAGCCCACCAAGTAAGACCTAAACTTTTCGATAGCATGGACGATGGCTAGGAGCTCTTTTTCAGTCGTTGTGTAGTTTCTTTGTGCTTCATCAAGAGTTTTGCTAGTGTAATAGATGGCATGGAGCTTTTTATCCTTCCTTTGCCCAAGCACAGATCCAACGGCATAGTCCGAAGCATCACACATGAGTTCAAAAGGGAGCTCCCAATTCGGTGGTTGAATGATGGGAGCCGTGATCAAAGCTTCCTTCAACCTATCAAAGGCTAGCAAACAATCATTAGAAAACACAAAAGGGGCATCCTTTACCAACAATTGAGTGGGCGGCTTAGCGATTTTGGAAAAATCTTTAATGAACCGGCGGTAAAAACCCGCGTGTCCAAGAAAACTCCTTATACCGTTCACATTAGTGGGGGGAGGGAGGCGCTCAATAACCTCAATTTTGGCACGATCAACCTCAATGCCCCTACTAGAAACAACATGTCCCAACACAATACCCTCTTCAACCATGAAATGACATTTTTCCCAATTAAGAACAAGGTTCACCTCTTGACATCTTTTTAACACTTTAATCAAATTACTTAGGCAAGTGTCAAAAGATGAACCGCAAACAGAAAAGTCATCCATAAATACCTCGATTGATGATTCAAGCATGTCGGAAAAGATAGACATCATACACCTTTGAAATGTAGAAGGTGCATTACATAATCCAAATGGCATCCTTCGATAAGCAAAGGTGCCAAAAGGGCATGTGAATGTAGTCTTCTCTTGATCCTCGGGTAGGATAGGGATTTGGAGGAATCCCGAATACCCATCCAAGAAGCAATAGTGACTATGTGATGCCAACCTTTCCAAGATTTGATCGATAAAGGGGAGAGGGAAGTGGTCCTTCCGAGTGGATATGTTCAATTTTCGATAGTCTATGCACATTCTCCACCCGGTGACCGACCTTGTAGAAATGGTCTCACCCTTATCGTTCTTGATAATGGTCATGCCCCCTTTTTTTGGAACAACTTGAACCGGGCTAAACCACTTGCTATCGGAGATAGGGTAGATTATGCCCGCTTCATGAAGTTTCAAAACCTCTTTTTTAACAACTTCTTTCATGTTGGGGTTGAGCCTTCTTTGGTGCTCAATTGAGGAGTCATGATCATTATCAAGCAAAATCTTGTGCATGCATATCGTGGGACTTATCCCCTTAATGTCATCAATGGCATACCCAATGACACTCCTATACTCCCTCAACACAACTAGGAGTTTCTCAAGGGAAGTGTCATCAAGGTTGGTATTGACAATAACGGGATAAGTCTCATTATCATCAAGAAAAACGTATTTAAGTGAAGGGGGAAGGGGTTTAAGTTCAACCTTAGGAGGAGGCGTAGACCTCTCTTCTTTTACCTCCACCTTAAGTGCTTCAAACTCCCTTGCCTTGCCATGTAGGGGTTGGTCTAGCAACAACTTGTACCCCTTAGCTTCATCATCATCATTGTACAAACTTTCCGTGAGGATCGCTTGTAGAGTATCTTTGCTATTGTTCATCATCTTCAATTCCTCCACTTCTCGGTCAAGAGTATCGATTCTATTGATATCCTCATACATAGGCTTCCTCATGGCTTGCGAGAATGAGAAAGAAATTTTCTCATCTCCCACATTCAATGTTAGCTTGCCTTGTTTCATATCAATTACCACTCCCGCCGTGTTCAAGAACGGCCTTCCCAAAATGAGAGGAACCTTGTTGTCCTCCTCCATTTCCATCACCACAAAGTTACAAGGTACAAAAACTCTTCCCACTTGTACCGGTACATCTTCAAGTATTCCCATTGGTAACCTAACCGAACGATCGGCTAATTGTATTGAGATTCTTGTTGGCTTCATCTCACCAACTTTTAAATTTTTCGCAATTGAGAAGGGCATCAAGCTTACACTTGCCCCAAGATCACAAAGAGCATCCATGGCTTCCATATCTCCAATCTTCACCGGATTTGCATAGCTACCCGGGTCACCAAGCTTTCGGGGAAGGTTGTTTTGAATGATTGCGCTCACCTCCATTGGAAGGGAGATGGTTGCACTCTCTTCAAGCCTACTTTTGTTGGACAAGAGATCTTTTAAAAATTTCGCATATGTAGGCATTTGTGACATAGCATGAAGAAAGGGAATGTTCACTTGGAGCCCTCTCATGACCTCAAGGAACTTTGAAAACTTCTCATTCAATTTTTTCTCTACCAACCTATGAGGGAAAGGAATAGGTGGCTTGTAGACTCTCATTGGGGGTTTCTCCACTTCAACTTCAACTCCCTCTCCTTTCTTTGTGTCTCCCTCAACACTCTTTTCTTTTTCTTTTCTCTCAACTTCTACCACCTCATTTTCAACATCATTCTCACTTCTCACCTCCACACCCTCATCTCTCTTTTGTGGCACATCTTCACTCATTACCGGACCTTCATACCCTCTCCCGGACCTCAATGTGATAGCCTTGACATGCTCCTTCGGGTTCACAACCGTTGAGATTGGAAATTGACCACTAGCATTGGAGGTAGAACTCCCAACTTGTTGTGCAATTTGAGCTAGTTGATTCTCAATTATTTTGTTGTGCGCTTGAAGTTGTTGGATGTTGGAGCTCATTTCTGCATTGCTCTTCCCTTGTTGATTTATGAAAGACTCAAGAGCGGCCTCAAGGGAAGTATTTTGGGGTGGAGGAGGTTGTTGGTTGAATTGATGTCTTTGTTGGTTTGGATGGCGGTATGGGGCTTGGTGATTTTGTTGATTTTGGTTGTAGATGTTTTGAGGAGGGTTGTTGTAGTTGGATTGTTGGTTTTGATTGGGTTGTCTCCACCCTTGGTTTTGTTGCCTCCAACCTTGATTGAAAGGTTGCTCATTTCTTTGGTTCACGGCCGCAACTTGCTCATTAGTAGCATTGCAATATGAAGCCATGTGATCATTACCCCCACAAGTCTCACAAGACATGACTTGTGGTTGTGGTTGTGAAGAGGAGGTACCGCTTGAGGAGGTTGCTTGGTCTAGCTTGTGAGCTAGCATATCAAACTTTGAGGCAATGAGATCTATTGCACTCAACTCATGCATACCTTTCTTCTTCGGTTGACTTTCTCTTCTATCATATCTATAGGCGTAATGCCTTGCAACTTCTTCAATCATATTCTCGGCTTCTTCCACCGGTAGCTTTTTAAGACTACCACCGGCTCCGTTGTCAAGATTGGCCCTTGAGGTAGGAGTGAGACCGTCGTAGAAGCTTTGAATAATCATCCATAAAGGCAACCCATGGTGTGGACACTTCCTCTTTAGATCCTTGAATCTTTCCCATGCTTCACCTAAGGTTTCATCATCCTCTTGAGTGAAGCTTGTAATCTTCCTTCTCAATTCCGCGGTCTTTTCGGGCGGACAAAACTTCCCAAGAAATGCTTTGGTAACCTCTTCCCATGTTGTTAAGGATCCTTCTTTCACGGACCTCAACCAACACTTAGCCTTGTCCTTAAGAGAGAACCAAAACATATGCATCCAAATGAATTCCTCCGTGAGGTTGTTTTGCTTGATGGTAGTGCACAACTCAAGGAAGTTGTCTAAATGAGCTAGAGGGCACTCATTTGCACTCCCCCCGAACTGTTCACTTTGGATCATCCTTATGAGTTGAGGAGAGAACTCATAGTTGTTTGCATTGGTGGTGGGAAGAAGTATGCCACTCCGAAGTTGGAATGCATCGGGGTGGTCATAGTCTTGTAGAAGTGGAGGAGGCGGTGGGTTGGCCATCTCTTGCTCGTTGTCAAGATTATCCTCCGACTCGGAATCCGTATAAGCTAGAGAAAAATCTGGCGTGCCTTGTAGGAGCCTTCTTACGTTCCTCAAAGTTCTATTTAACTCCGGATCTACGGGGATAAGCGGTGATTGCTTACTCCTCCGTGTCATGCACAGTCAAACAAAGCTAAGGAAAACGTTAGCAATGACTATGACAAAGTAAACACGCTTAAACAAAAACAAAATAAGAAGATTATATACATATACACAAATCTAGACTCATTCAACAATAACTTATTCAATGTGACTTTGCCTCCCCGGCAACGGCGCCAAAACTTGATAGGACGTCGTCAACCTATCAAGAAATAAGACCTAACTCGATCCTACTAAACTAATAGCAAGGGCAAGAAAGGGTCGAACCCATGAGAGGCGTTGAATCAACCACCAAATGTTATTGTTTAAACAAGCTAGATTAAGTCGGGGGTTTTAAGTTGGTATTACGTCACACTATTCTAATTCAAATCAACTAATTCTAAGAGGTGATTAACAATATTAAGAAGGCCTAGGGCATGGGTTACACCACTCAACTTCATCACGGACCACAAGTAGCATGCATAGAAATGGTGATTTAGGGGATAAATTAGGGGAAGTTATCAAATGCACCCAACTACTCTCTCAAGCTAGAGGGATTACTTGACATCAAAACCATAACCTACTCTCGTGATTATGGGCAAGAAACAAGTGTTAAAACATCCTCACGATAACATGCAAATTCCCTTGACTAGAAATTCCTATTCTCATGGCAAATCAAGTCAATCAAGCATAAGGGAGCTTCCTCAAGTTCATCTCTCGATCCTTCGTTGAGGAAGCTAGATAAATAATTCAAGCAATGGCCAATTACAAGAATTAACAATGAAACCTCTTAAACTCAACTAATTAACACCCCACAATTAACAAATTAGTACTTGCAACAAGTGTTGGTGATTACATTGAGGGTTCACCCAAACACTAGAAATTAGACTACTCACAATCCATGGAAGTTAAAGCAATTAAAGATTTCAAGGAATTCATGAACAAATTAAAACTAAGAATTAAGTAGAATCTAACAATTAAACATGCAAAGAACAACCAAACAATTAATAAAAAGCAAGAATTAAAGATAGAAGAGAGAAAGAAAGAGTAAGAAAAATTACTAGAAGCTTCAATAATTGACTAACAATGGTGGAACTTGTCTTCTACAATGATTGGATTGAAAACCTTCAAAACAAGAACTAAAATCTATGCTAATTTGAGGATTTTTGTGTTTCAAACTAAGAGGAGTATGAAAATCTGAAAAAAATTGGGAACCCCTTTTAAAATGGTCCAAAGGGGCTATTTATACTACCCCCTAAAATAAGAGGACGGAGAAAACAAGAAACGGGTAAACTGTAGGCCTGCACGGACGTGCTGAAGTTGGCACGTCCGTGCAGACCAAGGCAGAAACTCAGTTTAAGACGACCTGCTGCAACACGGGCGTGCACCTTTGGCACGTCCGTGCTGCATCATCTGCACGAACGTGCAATATTTGGCACGTTCGTGCTGCCTCATAATCACGGAAGCACGTCCGTGCTGCATCATCTGCACGGACGTGCAATATTTGGCACGTCCGTGCAGGCCTTGGCAGAAAGATGGGTTCAGGTCTGCACTCCTGCACGGACGTGCAACATCTTGCACGGCCGTGCAGGGTCTTCTAGGCCCTTTTCTTCGTGTTTTCTTCTACGATGCTCTTGTACTTGGATTCTTTCCATCATTTCCTTGCTTCTAACCTCGGTTTGGTAACCATGGGCTTCATTTGGTCGTCTTCGGACCTAAAATCTCAACAAAAACACTAACAACCCGTGAAGCATAGGATACACAAAAATTGCATAATAATAGGGTAAAAGTGAACCAAAACACAAATTTGTTCAGGTAAACTAGGTTCAAATACGCCCTAAAACCGCATAAAATAGCAAGTTATCAAACACATTCAAACAAAGCTTTTTGAATTAAATGAAAGTCAAATGCATTAAACAAAGCTAATTGATTCAAATGAAAGTCAATCACATTCAAACAAAGCTAATTTAATCAAATGAAAATCAAACACATTCAAACAAAGCTTTTTCAATCAAATGAAATTCAAATGCATTCACAATAGCGATTTAAATCAAGTCAAAGTCAAACAAAGCTTGAATCAAATGATTGTCAAATCCGTTCAACGATGCTAATTGAATCATATGAAAGTCAAGCACATTCAAACAAATCTTTTTGAATCAACTGAAAGTCAAATGCAATTAAAAAAAAGTAATTAAATCAAGTGAAAGTAAATTACATTTAAACAAAGCTTTTTAAATCAAATGAAAGTTAAATGCATTCAAAAAAAGCTAATTGAATCAAGTGAAAGTCTAGGTAATTCAAACAAAGCTTTTTGAATCAAATGACTGTCAAATGCGTTCAACGATGCTAATTGAATCAAATGAAAGTCAAACACATTCAAACAAAGCTTTTTGAATCAAATGAAAGTCATATGCATTAAACAAAGCTAATTGATTCAAATGAAAGTCAATCACATTCAAACAAAGCAAATTTAATCAAATAAAAATCAAACACATTCAAACAAAGCTTTTTCAATCAAATGAAATTCAAATGCATTCAAAAATAGCGATTTGAATCAAGTGAAAGTCAAACAAAGCTTTTTGAATCAAATGATTGTCAAAATCCATTCAACGATGCTAATTGAATAGTGTGAAAGTCAAGCACATTCAAACAAATCTTTTTGAATCATTTGAAAGTCAAATGCAATTAAAAAAAAAATAATTATATCAAGTGAAAGTCAAACGAATTGAAAACAAAGCTTTTTAAATCAAATAAAAGTTAACTGCATTCAACAAAGCTGATTGAATCAAATGAAAGTAAAGCACATTCAAACAAAGCTAATTGCATCAAATGAAAGTCAAACACATTCGGACAAGGCATTTTTAAGTAAATAAAAGTTAAATGCATTCAAAAAAGCTAATTTAATCAAGTGAAAGTCAAACACATTCAAACAAAGCTTTTTTAATTAAGTGATTGTCAAGTGCATTCCCACAAAGCTAATTGAATCAAATGAAAGTCAAACACATTCGAAACAAAGTTTTTTTGAATCAAAATAAATAGTTAAATGCATTCAAAAAAAGCTAATTGAATCAAGTGAAAGTCAAACACATTCAAACAAAGTTTATTTTAATTAAGTGATTGTCAAGTGCATTCCCACAAAGCTAATTGAATCAAATGAAAGTCAAACACATTCGAACAAAGCTTTTTGAATCAAATAAAAGTTATAAATGCATTCAAAAAAGCTAATTGAATCAAGTGAAAGTCTAAGAAATTCAAACAAAGCTTTTTAAAATAAAATGACCGTTAAATGCGTTCAACGATGGTAATTGAATCAAATGAAAGTCAAAACACATTCAAACAAAGCTTTTTGAATCAAATGAAAGTAATATGCATTCAACAAAGCTAATTGAATCAAATGAAAGTCAATGGCATTCTTACAAAGCTAATTGAATCAAATGAAAGTCAATGGCATTCTAACAAACCAATTGAATCAAATGAAAGTCAATGGCATTCTAACAAACCTAATTGAATCAAATGAAAGTCAACCAACATTCAAACAAAGCTAATTGAATCAAATGAAAGTTAACCTCATTCAAACAAAGCTTATTTAAATCAAGTGAAATTCAAACACATTCAAACAAAGCTTTTAGAATCCAATGAAAGTCAAATGAATTCAAAAAAAGCTAATTGAATCAAGTGAAAGTCAAACAAATTCAAACATAGCTTTTTGAATCAAATGATTGTCAAATGCATTCAACATAACTAATTGAATCATATGAAGTCAAACACATTCAAACAAATCTTTTTGAATCAAACTGAAAGTCAAATGCAATTCAACAGATCAATTGAATCAATTAAAAGCCAACCACATTCAAACAAAGCTAATTAAATCCAATGGAAGGCAAACACATTCAAACAAAGCTAATTGAATCAAATGAAAGTCAAACACATTCAAAACAATGCTATCTGAATCAAATGAAAGTCAAATGCATTCAATAAAAGACAATTAAATCAAACGAAAGTCAAACACATTCAGACAAAGCTAATTGCATCAAATGAAAGTCAAAAACATTCAACAAAGCTAATTAAATCATATGAAAGTCAAATGCTTTCAAAAAAGCTAATTAAATCAAGTAAAAGTCCAAAGAATTCAAACAAAGCTTTTTGAATCAAATGATTGTCAAATGCATTCAAACGAGGCTAATTGAATCATATGACAGTCAAACAAAACTTTTTGAATCAAATGAAAGTCAAATGCATTCAACAAAGCAAATTGACTCAATTGAAAGTTAACCACATTCAAGCAAAGCTTATTGAATCAAATGAAAGTCAAAACACATTTAAACAAAGCTATTTGAACCAAATGAAAGTCAACACATTCAAGAAATGCTATTTGAATCAAATGAAAGTCAAACGCATTCAAAAAAGGTATTTAAATAGAGTGAAAGTCAAAATCATTCAAAACAAAGCTATTTGAATCAAATAAAAGTCAAACACATTCAAAAAAAGCTTTTTGAATTAAATGAAAGTCAAATGCATTAAACAAAGCTAATTGATGCAAATGACAGTCAATCACATTCAAACAATGCTAATTTATTCAAATAAAAATCAAACACATTCAAACAAAGCTTTTTCAATCAAATGAAATTCAAATGCATTTAAAATAGCGATTTGAATCAAGTGAAAGTCGAACAAAGCTTTTTGAATCAAATGATTATCAAATCCGTTCAAACGATGCTAATTGAATCATATGAAAGTCAAGCACATTCAAACAAATCTTTTGAATCATTTGAAAGGCAAATGCAATTAAAAAAAAAAGTAATTATATCAAGTGAAAGTC